TTAATGCTACGATATTCCAAACCTTTTTAAAGCAAAGCACGCAATAACCAGGATTCGAACTCGGTAGCATAAAATTAACCGATGCCACTAGCCATTAGGCCATTGCGTAACCTTGAAATGTATTGAAATTATCCTACTGTTTATTATTTTGAAGTTGTTTAGCAACTTTAACCCGATCATAAATCTCAAAACAGTTGAGGGTAATTTAATATTAACTATAAAAATTAAACCTTTTTGTTCAATCATAACATTCTTTACTATCTTTGAGTGAGTTCAGTCACGATTTGTTTAACAAGTTTTTAATTTTTATTATGAGTTTGCGTTCAAATATTGATATGGCTACGAGGGCCCAAATAATAGCATTGCATAATCAAAGCTTAAATTATACTGGAATTTCTAGAGAAACTAGCTTAAACGTAAGTATTCTTCTAAAATGACCGTTTGTTATTTATTTTATTATCCATGGTTATCGATACATGAAAATAATAAATAATACACGTCCCTTACAGGTAAAGACTGCCACTTTATGGATATCTAAAGCTGTTTCAAGAAGAGGGTTCATTGGAGCACCGTAATGGATCTGGCAGAAGACGTGATATTGACTCAGACCAGCTTCAACTTATGGGGCAAGGTTATGAGGGAAATTACTGGAGAATTGTCATCTTCAGTGATGCAAACAGTGAAAACTACATAGATGTGCTGAAAGACGTCATGAAGATTTGCTAGTGATAACGTTCGTGCAGGACAATTGTCATATGTGTAATGTTCCATAATTGTGCAAGTGTTTAGTCAGCAATCAGACATACGGATTATTCCTTGCCCAGCGAGATAGGAGAAATAGGATCGATAAAAATGGCGGCTTCACTAGTTCTTAAAAGAAAAGATATTGTTGACTATAGGATTAAGCAATTACAAGACCGGGGTAGCTATAATTTATTTAATGGATAAATGTTCAAACTTAATGTTAGTAGGATAAATTTATTGACTACTTTATAACCAGCAACTGTTATACAGTAATGATTTTAATGTTTTACTAACTATGAGAAATAAAAATAAAAGCAATATTAATATCTACAGATGCTATTGATTGCAAAATAATAAATTATTTATTTATTAATTACTATAAACAATTCGTCCCATATCTAGTGAATGCTATATCTCGGTATTAGAAATGTTATTGATTTAAGGTCTAGCTTCAATTTCTTCCTTGTTCTGGAACGAATACTTAAGCTATGAGCCTTTGTCATAACATGATGCACAAAATGAATCACTTTAGTCAATACTTTAATTAAATTTTATGGGGAGGTAAAATAGTTGCAGAAGTAAGGTTACATATCATATAGAATCGTATTATAACATTGTGTTTAAAACTAACTAATAAATGACTAGCACAGCACAATTTTGATTTAAAATACTTATTAATCTTATAAAAAGTGTAATAAATAATGTGTCAGTTAGCTGAAAAGTTATTAGGTTAGGGTATACACTATATAAGAAAGAAATAAATATTATGTTTTAAGAAATAAATGTCTGAAATTATAATGTCAGTAAAATAGTTTTATTTGTTATCCTTTATGAGAATTAAACTTAGTATTAGTTTTAATCTGTAAGAAAAAAATGTTACTTTTACATTAAATGTTAGCACTTATTATAAAAGTTATTTATATATATTTATTAATATAATTTTATTCTAAAATAATATATATATTTATTTTTGTTATCTTTTATAAATATTAAACGTCAAATACTTTATTTATATATATTATATTGAATTTATATAAAAAAATATAAAAAACCATGGTTAAAAAACCTGAATTTAAAAAATGATAACCCGGAATTGAACCGGTGCCCTTTGACTTCATTATTCTATCATTCTTATTTATCCGAGCTACCGATCGCATTTTTTATGATATCGAAAATGCGGGTTAGTTTATAACTTTTATTATTGTCTATTATTAATTATTGACGCCATCTTTTAATTGATTTGCTTGACTTGACTTAGATGGCGCTATATTAAGTCTCGGAAATGAGAAAATTAACATAATTCATGTGTATTTGAATATAAATATATTATTGTTTCTTAATTATTATTTTAACCATTAAAAACCTTATTGTGTGCCTCTGCAGTGTAAAGTATTCAAGCTTTGCAGGGTTATTTTCATTTAAAAGCAGCGCCATCTAGTTATCAATGGTAGCGTTATGCAAAACCTGTCAGTCAATAGTCGACCTTAAGCTCTCCATGCATTTTTGTCACCCTTAGTACATAAAAAACATATCAAAATCTGTTGCGAAGTTTTAAAGATAATGCGACAAAGAAAGCAGCTTTGGTTTATAATATAGATCTAGTAATAAAATATATTTTCCTTTTTTCATCCCCAAATTATCTAAAAAATGTTATCCGTCATTTTATTTCCAACCCTCTGTCCGACAAAAATGTTTTTCACCCCTATTTCACTAACCCTCGCGTCTTAATGTGCCTAAAACATCCCGTCACTAAAGAATAAAAATTCTAGAAAATTCTTTTAAATTTTTTAATTGCTCGAAAAAATTCTTTGTAGGGTTCGGTATTATTTGTTAGTGGGCTTTTCGTACCCCCTTTTAAAAGGGTTTGAGAGGTAGACAGGAGTCATAAATCAAGGGTTATGAGAATTTTTGATAACATCGAACAATGACGTGTTGGCGTTTGACATGTGACGTCACAGATTAAATATGGAGAGAGGCTTGACGTTTCTTGGGTACATATTGTAGGTTATGTATAAATATTGAATCAAAGTGAGTAACATTTTGTGAAAAAAAAATACGATGACGTTGACGATTTAAAAATAAAAAGTGTAAATCAAAGGGTTAAAAGTTGTGCGAGTGCATTCTTTTGTTGTGCCCTAACAGGCAAGCTAGTCTATACTAATATTATAAAGAGGTATAATTTGTAAGTTTGTATATAGGGGGTAATCTTTGGAACCGCTGGTCGGATTGCCAAAATTATTTCACTGATAGGCTAGCTACAATGTTACTAAGTGCTATAGGCTATAAAACAATCCGCGCGAGAGTAGTTAGTTTGTAATATTATTGTAACATTATGGTACGCAAATAAATATGAAATATGAATATGAAAGATAAAAGTGTCAGTCTGTCGGTCACAAGCTATTATGACTTGAACTTTCAAGCAAAACAATAGTTAGCGATATTTAGTCAAATTCATTTTTTGAAGTCAAAAAATGGCCACTCAATATACGAGTATGTATGTCTTCCGTTTCTATAAATCATTGGAACTTTTTTTTAATACTAATTTGTTATGTATATGTTGAACAACCTTTGAAATAAATTTGAACCTTATTTTCAAAACAGTGGAGCTCATGATTAGTTAATTATCAATCTTCTCGATGTGCATTCATTAGCTTCGAATTCATACATCATTAACAGTGCATTGAAAAATTTATTTCATATATCTACATAAGAAGAGAAAAGATCTCCGGCCACTGAAAGCGCGGGTCTGCGGGCGGTGAGTTAGGGTAGCTCGCTGTACCAGACGGACGCGCCTCAAAGAGTCAATAGACCACCACAGATCTGATATTCAGCCAGGGTTGCGGAGTAAGCGCAATGTGGCACCGTGGCTTCGGCTTAGAGCAGGAGAAGGAACGGCGGGGTTTAGTTAAGAGTCTGCCGCTCTCTTTCTCGCCTTACTCTGGGCGGGAGAAGTCATTTAATGACTATCACCAGACAAATAAAAATATCTACATATTATATCGTCTATTGGTCTAGTGTCCGGAGTCCTAAGTCAAAGTCAACGTCAAATCATCAGAGCTTTCGTGCAATGGGGAGACTTTTCCTAGCTGATGATGATGGCCTGTGACTATCGAAATACAATTTGAAAGTCGATAACTCTTTTCACAATCTTCGTCACAATTTGTTTTTGTATTAATTACGCAAAGTTCAACTTTTGGACCATACCATACTATAACTACCAACCTATCGTCCTCATATCACTCCGCACCTAGTAATATCAACTTTAATACTCTAATAACAAAGTTGATTACCGTTTGAAGCATTATTAACTGACTAATTCTCAGTCAACGATACTCCGCTTCATTAGACAGCCAATGCATTCAGGCAGCAAATACAATATCAAAAGGCTTAATTAGAACATTGATAGGTAATGTACTCAAGCGACCAAGTCTAGCTATTACTGATATTCTGAAATAACACAGTGTTAGTGACATGACCCACGTGCAACATATTTAAATAAATGTCGGTAGTGCTAAGCTCGTATCATCGTATGATTATAGGACCTTAGTGCGTCTTGAAACTGAACGAGTAGCCGATATCAAAGTTTGTTTTCGAGTTATACGTACTGTTCAATAATATTTAAACAAAGTCAAAGTCAAAATCAAAAGTCAAAAATCATTTATTCCAATTAGACCCTTATAGGCACTTTTGAACGTCAAACAAAATTTTAAACATGTAGTGTCAGTCTGTCGGTCTGTCCTCTTAGTGAAGCTAAGTACTTGCTCGTTCTAAAGTGTAGATTCCGATGGAGAAGAACGAGCAAGGAACTCGACACCACTGATAAACGGTAAAGGGAAACATCGTGGGGAAATATAGAAATATAATTTTTAATTAGAAGTTTGTTATCGCTAATAAAGTTTGCCTTCATAATAGAAGTTCATGCATGATGTAAAATCATTATATAATTTTAAGATCGTTCTTGCGGTCATGGATTACTCGATGGTAAGCAATCGGCGCCGCCCATGAACACCCGCAACACAAATGGGATGCTGTGCATGTACATTATGTACAAGTGTGTTGCCGGTCTTTTGTGGGTCCTTAGGAATTAAAGGAGATTTTGGGGATGGGGGGACTGCGAAACAACGTAATAGTATTCTTACGCCGGTCTTCTAAAAGACTGGTGTTACTCCAGTCAAACTGGTAAATTCGCGCAGAAACATGGTTCTAAGTAGTTTTAAAACAAAAGCGTACTACAATACTCTTTTTGAAGTGCTTACCTTATTCGACAATCCTAGAGATACGCCTCCGGAGTTTTGATGACCGAAGTTCTGCAACAAAAAAGGAATAATTTATTAATATTGCTATAATTAACTAGATAACTTAATAAACGAAGATTTTAAATACATCTTTCGATTTTCCAAGCGTTCCTTTTTTGTTTTCTCTCTACCTTCATTATAATTATGTTAGCCATTCGACAAACAGAAATACATCAAGATATTTTTGTATTAGTTCTAAATCAGCAAATTAAATTAAATTAACTGTTCACATCCCGACTGCATAATGTACAGTCAGGGGTCAAAATGCAATTGCACTGTACCAATTTTAATAATAAATAAATGACCAAAATATCTTTGTAGAATAGAGTCAATGGTTGAGGACTGCTTTAATTTATAGCATAGAATCTAAATTATTGAATAAACTGGCTGTGAACCATTGAACTTTTACTACAAAGAAATTTTGGTCATTTTAAAATTGGTAGAGTGTAATTGCATTTTTGACCCCTGACTATACGTCATGGCAAGTAGGTCTCACTGATTGAAAGTAAACCTTTGCTTTTCGGGTCTTTGGTATAGGCAATGAGTAGAATCAACGAATATCAAAATTCACCCGAATTTGCGGTTTATTATCCTCACATACATCATGTTACCTTAACCTTTGAAGCGAGTATACAGGCTGTTATAACAAAGGCATCGTAACTTTGACTAACGTTCGGGCCTGTTCTTGATGAATATGCAATGCATTCAAGCTATATCCTCATGGAGTACGGAAACATTATTACAATATAGGGAAAACTAATTATAATAATTTAATATTATATGTGTTTTAAAATCATTATATTTTATGAATAATTTCTGCATCAATTCTAACAATATTGGAGATAGTTCAACCCTTTAGAACATTATTCTATGTAAACCACAAAAGCAGCTTAAATCTATATGTATGAAAAAATGCCTAAGAGCGGGTTCTGGACCTTTATTCATTTAAACATCAATACGACAATAAAAAGCAGTTTTATTGTATTAAAAAACAATAAAACTGCTTTTTATTGAAAATAAATACCCCACTTAAATCCCACTTAAATATACATTTCATTTTGTTTTCGACGTTGTAGTAGAAACAGAAATGCATCATCTGTCCAAACTTCTGGACTGGTAACAGACAGACATAAGCAGCAGGGACTAAGTAAAACGTCTCCAGTTCTCTAACCATTTATTATATATTATATTATTTGAGAAGAAGAAAATATCAGGTAAGGAACCAAAAAATTTATTTAAAAAAAGTTACGTAGCACTTTTTAAAGAATGCGAAACACCCAGAAACTGCACACAAACAAAATGATCCCCGGAAAAGGTAAATCTAATGCTCCCATTTAATATAAACGAATTGCACACCGTTACAAAATTGAAATCTATTGCTGTATGGGTCCCCAGTGATAAAATATTGCGGGAACATTTCGCATTCCAATAGCTTCCGTGCCATAAGGAAAACGACATGAATCTTAGTGTCACCATTTATGGTCTACCAATGGCGCTAGTGTCGCTTTTGGAATGATTGAAGGGCAATTTGCCATTTAGTTTGTATTTCATGTAATGATGGTGGGTAAGAATATCTTCCCATGGATTTTGTACTGACATAACATACTACACTTCTCTTATAATTCACTTATGTAGGTATTTCTGTGGATTAAGTTTAAAATACACTAGATTCCTGAACCCTTTTTTCATGAGAAAATCATCCAATGAGTTTTCTCGCCCAGGGTGAGGCGACAGGGAGTGTCAGACTCTAGTGAGAGTCAGTGGACTAAAAACATCCCCTTTCCTTCTCCAGTTTCAGGCCCAGGCTGCGGTACCTTATCATGCTAACCCCACAACCCTTGGTGAGAATTCTTAACCTTAGAAAGATTATTTTGGCTATCTTAAGAACTTGAACTTTATACCATTGTATGTAAATCACAATCCACGTTGAAAACATTACAGTAAAAGTAATACTACTTTTAGGATAATATAATTATTATAATATTGATTAATAATAATATTGTTATAACATAACATTGTTTTCCCTTAACAAAGGCCCTGCGAAAATGTTCAGAACATGACAGTCGGTGCTAACAAAAGTTGGCAACTTGTTCAAAAATCTTTAAAAGCAAAGTTATAAGTATCAAAAGTTCGTCAATGAAATATTACGGAAAATTTTAATAGACTGAGAGTTTATGAACGTGAAATTATTATTCGGGAATACTTACTCAATAAGAATATAATAATGGATGTGGCTTTTGTGTTTTTGTTCAAGTTTTTGATTTGATTGTACCTAACTGTGTGTTACTGGTGAGGCACCAGTTCAGTAGTTACTAAAATTCTCAAAATTAATGAAACCTTGAATGAGTTTAAGTATATAGATGCATTCATTTGGATTGTGAGTATGCATATGTGAGCGCCATGTTCGAGACGACAAAGGATTAAAATTTTAATGATAGATTAGATAGACCATCATTTGTTCCTTTTTAGTAACAACTTGTCTCTGCATTGTTCTCACATAGGGGTACAGTAATGTATAAAAAATGTATTATTGTTGAATTGTAAAACAAATATTTTTTAAAAAGAGTAACTATGGAGTTTCTTGCTCGTTCTTCTCCATTCGAACTACAATTTGGAACGAGCACCTAGCTTCACTGACGAACAGACTGACAGACTACTATTCTATTTTGACGTTTCAAAAGTACCTTTTTATGGTTTAGTTGGATTAAATAATTTTGATTTGATTTGATTTGCACTTATTGAGTAGGAAGAAATATTTTGTCGAGGTTTGTCGTTATAAAAGTGTACGAGTGGTATGGAAAGAGGAAAGTTCATAATGGCTCCGAGTGGGACCGACCGTATTGTCACCGCAAGCTCGCAGCCTCGGTCAAGCGTCGGCCGTATTGGGCACGGGCCATCTTCTTTGGTCTTAAGGCTCTATGAACTTGACACGTAGCTTAGATTGGGTCCCATAGAGAGTCATATACCTATTAACAGGCCAACCCGAGCCGATAGATATAATAAAATTTTGTGATCTTAAGTTTGTTGTTGAAATTGGCATGCAGTGTATATCTTTGTTTACGCTTTTATATAAAAAACATTTTTAATTTTTTTCTAGAAAAATTTAATGAAAATTTTCAAATGTAAACAATACTTGTCTTTCTTGTGTCTATAAAATATCCATTAGACTGCCACTCGCTACGGTAAAATAAATTTGTTTATCTACCCAAATATTGAAAAACAGTATACAAAGTATTTTATATCTTTCAAAAAATTGGAAAAATGAATTTTAACCTTTGTTTTATCTTTTTCATTTCAAATATGCATAGTGCTAAGTTACATAACACTTCCTTTCTAATAAAGAAAATAAAGTTATTAAGACCTGTTAAAAAAGTACAATGGTTGATTACTATAACAAAGACCACTTTGACTTGTAAACACAGACGTACCTATCTATTAATTATTTAACCTAAGAATTCTTTGAACACATACAAACGCAGTAAATCAATAAACTTCAATACCATAATGAAATCGAAATAACTGTCCATCTCTTTCTTACGTATAGTGTCTGGTGTCGTTGGAGTGAGATGGGTATACAATAATCTAACGAATAGGATGATAAAAGAGGTCGTATGTGGCAATGGGCGCATCCTGTGGGTCTTTGTGCCCATTCATCTTGAAGGATGAGAGACTGTGACTTACTGTCATCAAGTTTACTGTGTCAACGTTGATTATTCTAGTACTAGCGACTCTATCTATTAAAAACTGCATCAAAATCCGTTGCGTAGTTTTAAAGATTTAAGCATACTTTAGGGATATAAGGACAGAGAAATCGACTTTGTTTTATACTATGTAGTGATGTACGATTACGTTTATACGATGTGAAGTCAAAACTCAAAAATTCTAATTAATTTATTTGGCAATACTCTCTTCTTCTTTAATTAAAAAAAAAACGGTTCGTTTACAAACATACAATTTTACATACTCATCACACCCAGACCCGGAACAACAATTTGTTGATCGCGCAAAGATTTGTTCCGTGCGGAAATAGATCGCGCGACACGTTGCACAGCCACCCCTTCTACCGTGCAGTCAAAAATAACTTAATTTACGATTTTTTTTCTACTTACGCCAATACATCACTCACACAAACATACAAATAAATCGGTGTAAAATAAAAACAAAAACAGATCAACCAACCAAACTCTAAATACACATTAAAAGAACACCAAAGCCAGGCACAACACGATATTATTATACATCGGGTTCCGTACATCAATAAGTGTCATAGTCAGTCTCTCAATTATACCACATCGGGAGAATATTGGCAATATGGCAACATTATACAGTGTAGAGTTGCCATATCATAATTTGATATACGCTTGCTGGAATCCCGGAGCTATTTGATACTGTTGGATGTGAAGTGTCTTTAATGATATACTTGGAAGCTTATGAAGACAATACTAAGGTTTCAGTCGTATGCGTAATAAAAGTACAAGTGTGGGTGAGCCATGCTTCGGCTGGACCAGAATACCACGGCTTCAAAGAAAACCGGCGGCGTGAAACGACAACAGCGTTGTCATTAAGAGTCTGACACTCCCTCTCGAGTTCTCGACTCACATAGGGTAGGAGACAGAATTTGATGAATATCTCTAAAAAATGTCTCCAAACTCTAACCTTCCCATGGCTGCTGTAGATCCAATTAATAGACTTCATGATAATATTAAATGAACAATAGCTAGTCGGAGCGTTTTCTGCTAAAACTGAACTTATTTACCTATTAAGATTTTTCTTCTGTGTCATAGGTGCGTTTACAAAGACAATTCCACACACGTACACAGAACTGGAATAAAATTTGTGGATTACACAAATAGTTGTTCCGTGCGAGGATTGAACCGACACTTTGAATCGTTCAGTCGACTTCCATCTCTATCTACGAAGCGTGGCAATTATACTCAAAGTAAATTACCTTATATGAAGGCTCATTAATGGTCTATCAGGAGTAATTGGCAACGAATATGAGATCACTTAGT